TTTATAGAACCCCAACAAGTGGTATCGGAGAACATAGTTTAATTAGTTTTTGTTCAAAGTTTGGATTTTTAAGGCTTGTGTGAGTAACAAGTGTACGGGTGCAGAGATATTTTTTATTATTGCATAACTCGATTTTGCAAGAATAAATGAATCAATTATTATAACACTTGAATGATTGTATAAATTATTGCACAATTTTAAAGCCTCAGACATGTCGAGTATTTTATAGGTTGGTGATTGCTTGTAATAAATTATTTGCATGGTGGGATATCATATAGATTTATTATTTTCATAGGCAAGCATGTAAACCCATCCACAATTCTAGATCAAGCGGTTGTATTTATTTCGTGTTGACTGGGGACGAACACGGGCGACAATGAAGATCGGAGACCTGGATGACCCGACCACCCATGGCTCGACGTCGGTCACCTCCACACGTCTGCGAACAGTCGCGTGCGGGCAGTAGGAAGCTTGTTGTCGACGAGTGCTCAGACACGCAGGTCGTATAGTGGCAAGCGTACTACCCGAGCGATGATGTAGGCAGGGCAAGCTGGCAGAAGGCCCTCGGCGATCGGGCAACGAGCACCGCGTGCGAGTGTTGCGCGTTGCACGCGACTTGGTCGTTGGTGTTGGTGTGTGCCATACTTAAGAAACCGGGATCATCGCACCACTTGTCACCGAGCGCGTACACATGCCACCCCAAACCGCGCGTAGATTCGTAAAATGTTGCGGGATGACTTGGCAACGCGCAATGGGATGACACGTGTTTTTCGTGCGACGCTGATGCCACGCACGCCCGACATCCACTAGACTTCCAGGCGCGAAAATGTTGCAGGACAGGGCGTACGTCCTGGCGATGAGCTATGCATCCAGGCAGCAGGCACGATGCGGCCAGCCCTGTGGTGACACAACACGACGCTGATGCCATGACATCCCGGCGGTGATTGGACGATGACAGGGACCTTTCATCGACTTCATGGCGTCAGTACAACGTCGACAGCAGAGGGAGTGGCTGGCGGCAATCCGACGACTGACTGCTTGCGCAAGAAGTTTGCTGGTAAGAATTTTTGGCTGATAAAAAATAATAGTTCCAAAAGGACATTGACTAATTTATTTTCTAATGGGCTAAGAGTTCTAATTAATAATGGTCATAATAGTGGATATTTTATATCCATATTTTTTATTGTTATTAATCGCTACATAAGCATGTTTAACTAATTATATGCTTTATATGGGGTGTAAATTAATTATGGGATTGCATGTTTATTTTTAAAAATCTTCATGTTAAAATACTAAATGGGAGAATGAAATTTTAAAATTAAGCCACTTTTAAAAATCATACAGATCAGGTAATGGGTTTCACTTAGAACTAGTAGATATCTTATGCACATGCACAGATGTAAATACAATATTAGTAAGTAATATTTGAGAATTTAATATTAAAATTCTTGATAATTAACATATTACATTTTCAAAAATTTGATCATTAGGAAAAATAAATTAACGATTTTATGTTACATAGGTGAAATTAAATGCTAAGCTAGAAATTATATATATATTATTATTATTAAAATACAATTGTTTAGAAGATTCTAAAATTTTTTAACTATGTTAAAATAATTTACTAATTGTTTTTAAAGAAATATTTTTATGAGATACAAAAGAAAAAAGATAATATTGATGTTAAAATACATAACTTGAAACAATTGTTTATATTATGTAATTTTTATTTATTGTGAATTACTGTTAGTTGGTATTAACAATAACTATTATATATTATAATAAAAACATACATAATTACACTCATTAAGATGTATTAATGTGAGAAGTAAAAAATATTAATGGCAAATTTTGTAACTGAAAATGGAGGGAAAATTTTAGAGGTTTTATTAAATGTTTTATTAAATGCTACATGCCAGCAATTATATATATATATAGATGCGATAAAAATCACCCTCCCCGTCGGAGTCACTCATCTTTTGTCGTATGGTCAAATGGAGATCGACTATTAATTTTGCTCGTCATAAATTTGATTTTGACTTATGGAAATTAATTTCTCATACAAAAGTTGAGTGTGTAAGGCAGCCCGCCGTGACATGCATTGCTCTCGGTATTTTGAGATGTTGTTGAATTCAAATTAATGCTTCTTTTGTGGAGTTAATGTTAAATTCAAAGTGTTTAGTTAGTTAAAAAATTTCGTGATTTTCAGGATAATTCAACATGTCTTTGAATCCTCTGTCCAATATTCCAAAAGAAAGTCAACTTACTGGTCTTAATTTTATTGATTGAAAGATGAACTTGGATATAATGCTCACTAGTGAGGGTTACAAATCCGTACTCTTTAAATTATGTCCAGATGAGCCTGATAAGGCAGCCACAAACGCTGAGAAGGAAAAAGTATGTCAAGTGAAAAAAGGCTGATGAGATGATGTGTTGCTACTTCTTGGCTTCAACGTCAAATGTGTTGTAACACCAGCATCAAACCATGAGTTCCGCTTATGATATGCTTCTAAATCTCAAGGAACTCTTTGGCCACCAGTCAAGGGTTTCTAGGCCAGAGATTATTAGGGTTCTGATGAACACAACTATGGCAGAGGACACTCCCGAAAGGATCATGTCCTTGTGCTGATGGACAAGCTCAATGAGCTAGACGAAAATTTTGATTTGTTTTGAATTATTATTATGATTTAAATTCTGATCACTGAAACTTCCCAACGCGTGTATTGAAACTAATATATATACTAAATCACACCCGAAAGTGAACATATTTTCAAATGCGTAAAATATGAAATGTTGTAGATTTTATACTAAAAAAAAAGCTAAAGTGATGGGTCCTGAACTTCTTTTCTCATATAAGAAGCAATGACGATATCTGGGGAATAAGCAGCGGCTAACCGTGCTAGTAGCCGCGGTAAGCAGAGACATATTTTTGAATTTTTGAACTCGTTTTTCATAAGTAGGAAGTCAAAGAATTCGGTATATTTTTTAACTTTCTACAAATAATTTTTTCATCAACAGTATATATAGCTATAGATTTCCAACCGTTCCACTATATTACTGTTTATTTATTATTGTAATTATGGTTAATGGAATGTGCGGTTGTATTATAAATGGTCTTAATTTTTATCAATAATTTTTTGCATTAGTTAAGACTTAAAATAATTGTGGAATTGTGGAGTACCCAGTGCTTTTTCGTTATACTAATTCACTAGTACAATACCCGTGTATTACATTGATGCTTGTTAAAAAAATATTCTTAAATTTTAAAATTAATGACAAAACTATATTAACTTTAGTTTAATTTTTTTACAAAAAAAATATATTACTATATATTTTAGAATGATATGTGTTACTTATGACTTAAATGTGTTATATTATATTTGTTTTTATAACTTATATCATATAACTACTTGAAATATAAATATATTAGTTGATAAATAATTTTATTTTTCTAACTAATATTAAAAATAATTTTATTATTGTTATAACAATAAATATAAATTATGTTTTTTATACATACAATATGGATGTTAAATCGAAACTCATCAAAAGAAGATTAATTTGATATATTACATATGTAAAACGGATAAAAAATACAAATGTTATTAACTTTTTAAATATATATACAATTCAATAATTATAATAAGGTCATCTCCAACCGAAAAACTCAAACTCAAACTCATTTTGCAGTAACTATCTCATTTTGCAGTAATTCATCTCCAACCGAAAAACTCATTCTCAAATCCAAAAGAATATTCCCAGAATATTCTCTTTTACACCAACTTTTATAACTTTTCAATACTGCCCACATATTTTACAACTTTACAAATTAAACCACACTATTATTTTAAATTAAATTTGGACTTTATGTAATTAAAATTAATTATACATAATAAAATCGGAGAAATAAATATTCATTAAAAATTAAAATTTTGCCACACAAATAAAATTAAAAATTACAATTCTCAAGATGAAAAATTAAAAATTACGGGAAATAATAAGTTATTCATTATTTTAATGAAATTAAAAAGGGAGAATAATATGTATATTTTACATTATTATTGTGGTACGTCTAAAATTAAATAATAAACATAATATTTATTATTTAAAATATTATACTATCTAATTTTGATGAAATTAATTATTTTAATATTTTACATTATTATAATATTATTATTACTATGAAAAAATATATAATTAATATTCATTATTTGGTAATTTAAATGTCTTTTTTATGTGTTAAATAAGCTTTTAACTATTAATATGATTTGTAATTTTTTTTTACAAAATATACTAATATATAATAATAAAAAAATAATAAAACAAACAGTAGTTAATAATACTAAATACAATATATAAAATACATATATATTATATATATATTATATAATATTTGGTTTGATATCTAATTTATACTAAATAATGGATCATTTTGCAATTATTAGAAGTTCATACGCAAATATTTTGCGTTGAACGCAAATTTGCGTTTCACAGAGGAGAGAGAAGGCCAAAATCGGATTTTGCGATGGGATTTGCAGTTCGATTGGAGCAAATTTCCCTCATTTTTTGCGTTATGCGAATCGGTTGGAGAAGGTCTAAGGAATGATATTAAAATGCACTTATAACATGTAACATGACCATAATAATCAACATATTTATGGTAATCCGAACCTAATTATTTTTGGTTTGGAATTAATTAAAATTTACTCAAGCCTAATAACGAAGCATGTAATCTTGTCACATAGGATTCTAAAGCACCAGAAGCGCGTTCTGGATTAATATATAGGGACATAAAAGGTAGATATGAATTTTCACCCATTTTTTAAGGATAGAGTAAACTTGGCCTACAGAAATCATAGCCCAAAAAGTTTTAGCCTAGCCCAGGCCAGTTAGCACGGGCCCAGATGGTCTGTGCTGCCCATTTCTACAGCTCTATTTATGATTTAAAAAGATTGTGATTTTTATAATTGTCAACTGTTTTAAACGAGCCGACGTCGAACTCACTTGGGCTCCTGATACTCGAGCTCGGCTCGTCTCAAACCTCTATAGAACCAAGCTTTAAAGGAAATGAATACTGCATCAAGTTTAAGCTTGGCTAGTTTATCTAAATGAACGCACAAAATTCAAGCCACACGACCCAAATTAAAAATTCAGAGAATCAAGTAAAAACTGATTTCTCGACCCTAACAAGTCGAGCTGAACAGGAGCCTTAGATGAGCCGAACCAAGCTCACTTGCGTCTCATTCCATTTAGTAGCTCGATTATAAGAACAATAACAACGCATGCGGATCATTCAAGAGTATAGACATCATCATATCCAGAAGCCAAATAACAACTATAATGTCCTTACGTATTCACAACACCACAAAGCACAAAAAGCAAGCACATAATGACCACACAAACACCGACATTTGTAAACAGGCATCAACTGATCACGAGAGAATAAAAACCAAAAAAAAAAAAAAAAAAAAGGAAGCCTCGAAAAATTCTTTAGTTTTATAACATACTGTACCCATCATCATCATTCGTCCCCATGAAACATAAGATGGCCACGACGAACACGAAATAGGATGAAAGCTCCATGGCTAATGCTCCCCAACCAATGACTCCTGCATGTTTGAGAATAACAGGTATAGCTATGCTACCAACAGCTGAAGCACCAGTAAGGAACTTAGCTGCATCTACCCATCTGCAACATCAGGTTTAAATAATGTCCACATAAATAATTCCGATCGATATGTAACTATTCATCAATGAAATAATAGGGGTGGATTTAGGGCAATTGTTCAAGCAGCTTGAAAAAAAAAAAAAAAAAAGAATCTCACCCACTGCTTGACTCGGAATAGAGAGAAGAAGCATCGGACCCGGCAAAGAAGATTAAAGGCATTGGTAGAAGGACATACATTAGCACTGCAAAAGAAACAAGAAAAATTACCCTATCAAATCAAAAAGAAGAAGAAAGAGGGATGAATATAAAAACCGATTTTAAATTTTCTAGAATCCCATAAGTCAGTCAGCAATCTAAGACCCATAACCAACACGGCCAAAAAGTAATGAGTTATTTGAAGCATAGAATCCATTATAAGCAAATAACAGCTGCATCTGGACACCTGTTAACATTGGCCACCAATTATTGTATAGAGCGCATGCCTGAACGATAAGTAGAATAGTCAGAAAAAAAAGCAATAAAAATCAAGGGGCAAGCGAATGAACTAAAGCAAATGAAAGCAAAATATGGTAAGAACCAGTATTTGCAAAACAATTCCCCCTGACACAAGAATTGCTAGCATGGCAAGCTTCCCAGACTGCAAGCAAGATCTCATGTAACGAGGCACGTCTGCCATCCTGCCTTGCATGTAGAAAGAATAATACAGAAAATCATACTTCCTCCTCAATTTTAAGTTATGATGATGAAAGGAAAGATCAAAGGCACAGCTTACTGCAGCTGGTATCGTTCTTTGAGGTTGCATATTTAGCCAAAGTTCATTCTTTCGTTATAGAACTACAGTATATTGAACTTCTAATCACTAGGAAAATGAGAGAATTCATCAGACACGAGCAAGTAAAGTTTACATGTGTTTAAGGATGCGTATACAAGAATGTGCTTATAATGACAATTGACAGATCGAAGACCAATGAAAAATATAAAGATTGGACTTCCTTCAGTCCTTCTAAACATATTATTACAAAGACACTGAAAGAGAACAAACAAGAGGTTGCTGCAAAGGTGTTGAAGCTGACACCGGTGCATGCCTCTGAGGAAACGTGTTAAACTGTTCATGGCCTTTGCATAACTGATAAGCACTATCTTTCATATTCATTTTTAGTTCAGAATTACGTGTTAAATAACTAGGAACATTAGAAATTACAAGCCAAAAGAAGCTTGTAATGACACTGGTAGAATTTTTTATCTGATATAAGCATGTCCATAAGTATGTCTAGACATGGTAACACACACATCTGAAGTCGAGGAATCCATTTCCTATTTGCTTGAACTTATGTCTAATCCTCCCCGATAAAAAGGGCGGTAGACTGTCTAGAAACGCATTTACTTGTTTTAAGTGGGGAAGACTTGAGAGATTACAAAGTGACCTATGAAGCCGGAGGAGAATAATATAGGAATGAAGGACAAATCAAGACAACACATAAATCCCAACTTTGATAGCAAGTTATCCTAAGCTGAAATTCACTAAGCAGAAATTCAGTCACTAGAGAAGTATCTGGTGGTTTAACAATATCTTCCGTGAATAGAACGATCAGATAGGAAAAATTAAATGATAGGAAAGGATTCACCATCGGAAGTCAAAACAAAGCAGGATCAAGCAAAACAAAGCAGTATCCGAACTACATCTATCAGGTGTCTGAAGTTCAATAAACCGCACATCAAAAAATTGTTGTTCGTTTTAGTTCAAACTTTCTACCAATTTTGTGCTCTGGTGTGCCTGGAGTTGGCAAGTTAGACACAATCGACGTCTACTTCATCTCATCAGAGAGAAGAGTAGAATGCACCACAAACATGCAGCTCAAGTGATATCAAACTGAGCTTTGAAAGCTAATCTGTTAGGGTCAAAAGGTAAGCCCTACATGTTACACTCTATCTGGTTCTCAATTCCACCCCCAACAATCAAAAATGAAATATAAAGATTGGAGCTTAACTGCCAATTATTCTAAAGCATTCTTTGCAACATTCTTGTTGCCACAGCTTCAAGTACAAAAAGCATGTCTTTCAGCAAAGAACCACGACCTCGTCCGTTTACGCCACTTAATCTCACTATCCAAGAAACGGGTCTTAAGGATCTCCATTATCCAGCATCTCAATCAATAACATGGCGCAAAAGCACCAGCACATAGCAGTCAAATCATACATAAAGTCCTCACAAACCCAAAATACATCATGAATCACTAAACTACTCATGCCCTTTTATTTACTCTGCTCAGAAAGTATTTTCATATTCAGGGACTGAAGATATCACATTTCATCGCCTAAAGATTTTTTTCGATCCCTAGTCTAGGATAATATGGCAACAACCAGCACGTTTGATTGAATGTTGTGCATCTGCTGGCAGAAAAGGATGATGATGTCTGTTCTAAACAGCATAAAGTTATGATTTTGTTTTATTTTTAAATTTTTTCGATTGCACATCATAAGAATCAAGAAGTAGCACGATCTCAAGAGTTTAAAGATTATGATACGAACTTCGCAAGGATTTATGCACGAAAGCAGAGGACGAAGCACCATCCTTACCAGGACGACGGACGAGGATAGCAACAGACTTCGAGTTTCGAAAATAACCAGAGATGGTGCTTGCTTTTCGGTATCAACAATCATATGATCAGTTGCTGGAGATGAATGTGAAGAAAATAATGGAAAATTCCCAATTTAATGATACTACATCAAATGAACGCTCAAAGTTTAGGAGGGGGTATTAGTTTGATCTAGCCATATTCATCTAACTAGTAGATATCCTGTGCATGTGCACAGATGTATATAAAATATTAGTAAGTAATATCTAAAAATTTAATATTAAAATTCTAGATAATGAACATAATATATTTTCAAAAATTTGATCATTAGGAAAAATAAATTAACGATTTTATTATTATGAACAATTGTTTAGTATCATTAGATAATAACAGTTTGATTATTATTATTATTATTATTATTATTATTATTATTATTATTATTATTATAATTATTATTATTAATAAAAAAATAATTGTTTATAAGATTCTAAAGTTGTTTGACTATGCTATTAAAACAATTTACTAATTGTTTTTAAAGAAATTTTTTCATGAGATACAAAAGAAAAAGATAATGTTGAGGTTAATATAAATAACTTGAAACAATTGTGTATAATTATGTAATTTATATTTATTGTGAATTATTATTAGTTGGTATTATCAATAACTATTATATAATATAATAGAAAAATACATGATTACACTTAATAGGATGTGTTAATATGAAAAGTAAAAAAATATTAATGATAAATTTTGTAACTGAAAATAGAGGGAAAATTTTAGATGTTTTATTAAATGCTACGCTAGCAATTATATATACATATATATATATATATATTAATAAAAAACAATTGTTTATAAGATTCTAAAGTTGTTTAACTATACTATTAAAATAATTTACTAATTGTTTTTAAAGAAATTTTTTAATGAGATACAAAAGAAAAAGATAATATTGATGTTAAAATACATAACTTGAAACAATTGTTTATAATTATGTAATTTTTATTTATTGTGAATTATTATTAGTTGATATTAGCAATAACTATTATATAATATAATAGAAACATATACATGATTACACTCATTAAGATGTATTAATGTGAGAAGTAAAAAATATTAATGATAAATTTTGTAACCGAAAATGGAGGGAAAATTTTAGAGGTTTTATTAAATGGTTTATTAAATGTTACATGCCAGCAATTATATATATATAGATTTTATTCGGTCTTCAATTAATAATATTATGAGTACATTTAACAAAAATATGTTGTATTTAATAAAAAATTTATGATATCTATTCAAAAACCGTTACAAAATATTTTTTTTTTCAATTTATTTATTATTATTTTTTTTTTGGTACAAAGAGAGGAGGCTAACGCCTAAACCACTAGATAGTTATGTGCCGCGGGTACGCAATGCCCACGAGATCATGCTGTAGCCACGGGTTAACTTCTAGCGGTGGGTCGGATAATCGATGGCAGCCACTAGGGCCGCCATAGGCAAGAGACGCCAAACAATCAGCCGCAAAATTCGCTTCGCGATAACAATGAGTCACTTTTGCCTCCCAATCGCGAGTGAGTAGCTCCTGAATAGCCCGAACCAGGATACCATGCACTCCAACGTCAGTTAAGGCCCCATTTGCCATAGCCACCACACTTTTATTATCCACTTCAGCGATAAGTTTACGGCACCCCAAGTCCCAGGCCAGAGTAAATCCTTGGAAGAGGCCCCATGGTTCGGCTCCTGTGATCGAGCAATACTCAATATTCATGACAAAGCCTCCAAGCCAGCGACCCCGTGCATCACGAACTACGCCGCCGACCGCTGCCATCCCGGAAGTAGCAATGAAAGAGCCGTCTGAATTAACTTTGACCATTCTCTCCGCAGGAGTCTCCCATCGGATATAATGCATTCCACGACCACACCGAGGCTTCGTAGGGAAGTCTCAGCCGAGGTGAAAGATCTTATTCCTAGTGCTAAGGACCTAGCTTCTCGTATTCTTTGAGTGACAATAAACTCCTTGCCAGCAAATAATTTTTCATTCCGTCCCCGCCAAATGTGCCATGTCATGACCCCAAAAATGGTTTCCCACCCATCTACACCAATGCCCAGGTTGTTCTGCAAGTTTTGAACCATCCATTCACAAAGTTGTAGGCGAAAGAACTCGGGTTGTTGACGGAGTGGGACCAGGCCTCGCCAAACTTCTCGGGCTCCTGTGCAATCGCGAAGACAGTGTAAGGTCGATTCTTCATCACGGCCACACAATGGGCAGGCCGACGAATCCGAGATATGGCGTTTTCTCCTCTCAGAATTAGTGAGCAATCTATCGTGGGCGGCAAGCCAGAGGAATTGTCGAACTCTTTGCGGGCCAGCCCATTTCCATATAATGCGCCACTAAGTCTGATCAATAGCCATTGACGGGGCAGCACGGACCAGCGACTCATAGGCCGACTTTGTTGTGAAATGGCCACTTTCCGAAAACCCCCAATACATGTGGTCCGACCCGGCAGCACTCGAGGGTGGCATAACAACTGCGATGCGCAGGGAGGTGCCAGCCGGGACTAAATGGCCAAAGAGATCCCAGCGCCATTGACCCGCGTTGTTTACGTAAGCGCTAACCGTCCAGTTGAGCTGCTCAGTTGGGATAGGTGTCAGAGCCTCGGCGAGGAGGGTTTGCGAGCTATGCGTCCAATTGTCTTTCCAAAATCGAGCAGTCTTGCCATCACCGATTGACCACCTCAGTCCACGCCGCACGGATGGCCAGACCTTTTTAATAGCCTGGAGAATAGCTGAACCTCTAGAAAACACAAAATCCTCAGTCATCGAGGCGGGAACCAACCTGTACTTGGGGAGGATTAGTCGTACCCACAGAGCGTTTGGATTGGTTAAGAGGGACCAACCCAATTTCATAAGAAAGGCTGAATTCATATCACGTTGTTTTTTAATGCCCAACCCGCCGCACTCTTTAGGTTGGCAAATCTTATCCCAAGCCACAAGATGAATTTTCCGGTTGGAAGCAGTGCCATTCCACAAGAAATTACGACAGCGTTTTTCTAGGCCCGCACACGTCCCATTAGGCATCCAGGCAATTTGCATTGTGTAGTACGGCAAAGAGGAAATTACCGACTGCGTAAGAACAAGACGACCGACTAAAGATAAAGTGTGGGCTTTCCAATTTGCTAATCTCGCATCCGCCTTCTCAAGGATGTTCTCGTAAGTGTGATTGGTGATGCGGCTATGCACTACGGGGACGCCAAGGTACTTACCGAGATTGGTGACGATCGAAAACCCCATGGCCCCAGCTAGAGCTAGCTGATCAGATAGGGGGGTGTTCTTAGAGAAATAAACGTTCGTCTTTGCGTGACTGACCTTGAGGCCTGACATGGAGCAGAACCCCGTTAGCACCGAGTTGACCACAAGTGTCTGGTCTTCGCTGGCTTCTAAGAACAGAAGCAAATCGTCTGCGAACATTAGAAGTGGCACGCGGACCTCGGTACCTCCAATCCTAATTGGCCGCCATTGACTGGCCTCCACATGGCATTGGACTAGGTGGGCCAGTCGCTCGATGCATAATACAAACAAATACGAAGAAATTGGGTCCCCTTGCCGCACCCCACGGTTAGGAAAAAAATCCTTGCTAGTTATCCCATTGAAGCTAAGTTGCATGGCCAACGACTGTATGCACGCCATAACGTTCCGAACAAAGGTGTTGGAGAAACCAGCTGCCCGAATCGTTTCTTCCACAAAGTCCCAACGTAGATAGTCGTACGCCTTTTCCAGGTCGACCTTGATAACCATGATACCTTTGCGGCCTGTCTTGGTTCGCATGGTGTGGATTAACTCTTGAGCCATTATGATATTGTCAGTAATGTGGCGACCGGGCACAAAGTTAGCCTGGGTTTGACCGACGAGCAGTGGGAGCGCGGGCTTCATGCGGTTAACCAGCACCTTTGTGATTAGCTTGTACACCACATTAAGAAGGCTAATAGGTCGAAAGTTCTGAATGCGGTCTGGGTTGGCGACTTTTGGAATGAGGACGAGCAAGGTTTTGTTTAATTCCAAAGGCATGCTTACTCCATTGAGAAAAGCACGGATCATATCACAGACAGACGGGCCAACCGTGTCCCATTTCTGTTGAAAAAATATCGCGTGGATCCCGTCTGGCCCAGAAGCTTTCAGCGGTTCCATCTCAGTAAGGGCGAGGAGGATTTCCGAGTCGCTCACCTCGCGGTCCATGCGTGCAAAGAGTCGGGGGTCAAGCCGTGGGAAAAGATTAGCCATCCCGGGGCCCGCTGGAAGTGGATCAGTTTGAGTGTAAATGCCTCGAAAAAAATCAAGGGCCATTTATTGTAGGGTCGCCGGGTCCTCCACAAAGGAGTCAGTTTCGTCCCTTAAAGCTAGGCTTCGATTATGGTAGCGGCGTTGTTTGACCGCCTTATGGTAGTAAGCTGTGTTCCGGTCTCCAAATACCGTCCAATCCCTTTGAGATTTTTGTATCAATAAAATCTCTGCTTCCAGAGCGACTTTATCGAGCTTTTTACGTAAGGCGGATTCCAAAGCACAAAGTCGAGGCGTAGTATACTTTTGAAGTTCGCGTTGGGCCCCACCAATGCGCCGAAGGAGTCGCTTCTTGCGTTGAAATATATTACCGAAGACATTTGAAGTTCCAATTTTCGCCCGTTCCTGGAAGGATTTGCTAGCTTCAGCGTATGGTTTCCCGGCCCAGGCCTCCGTTACAATTTTAGCGAATCCATCATGAAGAAGCCAGGATGCCATAAATTTGAATGCCTTGGGCGGTCGTAGTGGAAGAGTTTCATTCGAAAGGCAGACTTTGAGCGGGAAGTGGTCCGAGTAGCTACGCGGGAGGTGTTTGACAAAGCAATCCCAAAATTGTCTAACCATGCAGAGTTAGCCACGAAGCGGTCAAGCTTCTGATTTAGGCTGCCTCTCTCCCAGGTGTATAGCATGCCGTCTGTGCGTAATTCCTCGAGCCCGTTATTAAAAATCCACGATGAGAAGTCATGGCTGGTAGAGTGTTGGGTCCGGGCTCCCCCAGTACGTTCACTTGGTCGAATAATGCAGTTAAAGTGGCCACCAATGAGCCACGGTTCGCGAATATCATTTGCTAATACCTCAAGTTCCCGCCACAAAGCCCGACGCAGCCGAGGTTGAGGGCTGGCGTAGACAAACGTGACTAGGGACTCAATTCCGTCTTTACTGATCTTAGCATGGATGAACTGACGATGACATTTCAAAATGGTCAAGCACACCCTCTGCTTCCACAGGATCCAAATCCCACCCGAAAAGCCTACCGCCTCAACACGAAACGATCGGTCAAACCCATACTTTTTAATGAAAGTGTCAGCGTTCCGACCGCTTATGCGAGGTTCAAACATAGCAAACACATCCGGAGTGTAATGATGAGAAATGGTAGAGAAGCTTCAAAAAAAGCCCGCCGAAGCTGCTCCTTGTGCGTTCCAGGATATAATATTCATCGGGAAACGCAAAAAAGAGAGGGTAAACTCCGTCACAACAAATGAGGGGCCACGGAAGCTTGCGCTTCCTCGTCCGACATCTGATCATCACTTGTGAATTCGTCCAGTCGGCCCGACAGCTGCCCATGAATGTGTGTGAGGTCCTGGCCCCCAATTGCCATTTCGTCTCCTGGGTCAAGAAGGTCTGTGTTTGAACCACTTGGGATAGGTGGGTTGGGTTCATCCACGACGTGAACCGCCTGATGCTTCGCCGGATCCAATCCAGACGTGAGCGGGATATTCCTCGTAAAACGGTGCATGTCTGGTTCAAACTGAGTTTGTCTGCTCTCCTGCTGTTGGTCTGAGTCATTTTTCCGTGCATTTCGGGCAATGGTAGTGACATTGAGCTTCGCGTTCTGCACTAAGGCTGGTTCGCCTCCATTGGTCCTCCTAGAGTCGACAATATTGTTTCTATCCTTGGTCTTTTTACCACTTTTAGAGGTAACCACCTGCCACTCACTATTATTCTGGCCGGCACGGGTCCTTGTCGAACCACCTTCCATCCGTCTCGCTTGGAAGCTCGTGACCGACGCCTCGAAAACGCCCTTGCCCTTGTCTGAGGTAATGAAGGCACGGTTAGTTTCAGTAGCTCCTTGAATGGGGACCGAGTCCAGTCCCTCATCATCCGCCAACGTCGCGGAGGACGATTTATAATGATACCCTATTGGATACTTTTAGTTACGGTATGTTATAATGACCGGAGGACGATGTTATAATCCAGTACAGACATTATATAATAAATATAGTGATGAATTTGGATACTTTTATGATGTTCATTTTTACTTACGACAAAATTTTAAAATGTGATATTATTATTTAACTTATAATTTTATAATTATACACATACACATAAATTATGACTTATAATAATTTAGATTTATGTGCATATGCACAAGATCAAAATACTAGTTGAAACTTTAGAGACGAGGTTGGCTATAAATTAAAACCAATTTTGACTAAACGGATAATTTTTTATCTTATTTAATTAACATTCAACTCAACTCTCATCAATATTATTACTATAATTAAATAATAATTATAATCAATAATCATATATCAAATTAACTTTAGTTCATGGTTCATTCACTTATATATTATCTTCAATAATCCCCTCTTACTTTATATCACATCAAATTTTATTACTTAATTTTAGTTATTATTTAAATATAAGTTAAATTCTACTAAGTTATTCATTCAATCATCTTTATTCAAAACTAAACCACTTGTGTGGGGATTTGATCTGGAGTCTCTTAGCTTGTTGAATAAGGTGAAAGAGGTTCGAGACATTCCAAATGTCTAGTGTTTCCAACAATTTCTAGAGTTGCCTAGCCGATTGAGTTATTTCGGAGTTCTCATAGCTTTGTTTCTTGATTACGGTCTTCCCCATCTTGGGTTGATGTTTTTAAATTTTGGTTTGAAGTGGCGGTTATGGTGGCATTGTATGTGGGAGACGCGGAGGACATTATCTTATTTTTTCTATACCCAAGTTCCAGGCTTACGCCTGACTAGTCCTAGACCCTACGCCACCGGCCCCTCAGAGGGAGTGCGGAGGTAAACCACAGAATGTGCCCGAGTGGTCTTTCAGGTTCCGGCACCACTTATACTCTTGGCCCCCATAGGGTCTATTGGCACAGAATTGGACAACAATTACACATTAAATTTACAGCCTCAGGTTCTTCCTGCGTTCCGAACCCTCAACATATTGGTTACAAGCTCACCAATGCCATTGTTCTAACTATACGTTGGTGCCTCGGGGTCTAACATTATTTTATTTATCAGTTACTTTTGTATTTGTTTTGTGTTTCCTTATGATTTTCTTTGTGTTTGTATTCTCCATTATTGAAGTGTTTGATTCTCCCAAGTGGGAGTTGGCAAGCTTTCGTTTAGGTTTTCTTTTTTCGGTTTTAAACTACCGTTGTGTAGACTTCCCTTCCTAGATTCGACTTAGTTAGCTGATTAATTCGACACTTTTTAGTTGTTTTTTAATCTGTATTTATAGTGCTTATTAATACAAGACTATTGTTTCAAAAAAAAAATCACTTAACCAATAAATTCAATCAAAACCAATTTTATTTATATCCATTCTCCCCTTAAAATCATTTTAAAACTTTTAGAATTACATTGTATAAAAATGAAACTTTTTTCGGACTTCTAAAAAGTTTACCTGTATCAAACTGAAACTTGTACACACTTTTTATCAATTTCTAAAAGTTTCAAGCAATTCAATTAAAACTTTTTAAAAGTCTCTATATAAGTCACCTCGTATTAAAAGTATGAAGACTTTATGAGACTTTTTAAATTTAAGACTTTCAAGGAGTTCTTTCCTATAATTAAAAAGACAAAGTCATAGTAGAAGGTATTAAGTTGAAACTTTTAAAGACATTTTGAAGTGACTGACTTTAATGGATTTTGTGAAACTTCATGAACTTTGGTGGACTTTCTGAGATTTTCATAGAACTTTTATCAGAGACTTTTTAAAACTTTCATCATGTACGTTTTGAAACTTATTGAAACTTCCAAATTTACATTTGTATGAAATGTTCATGAACTTTGCATCATAAGTAATATCAATAAAATCAAGCTATGTTTTGTTTAATAAAAAAATAAGATGTAATGAGTCATGAAAGTAAACACTAGCTACTCAACAAGAAAAAAGACGTAAGGGGAATAAATAATCCTCTAAAAATTGTGAGTCAACCATAGAATCGTTATTCAAACCGAGCTATGTGTGAACACAATGACGTTCTGCTCATGAATGCTCAAGCTCGGCCATTTGTTTTCTTAAATGAATAGAGTTTGAACAACTGATTGAGCTTGGTTATTAGACAAACCGAAGTGAGTTTGTTCATGAACTAGTTGTTTATTAATTTTTTATTCTTCATGAAATACACAATCGTGTTGAACTTGTTCGCTAAAAATATTTTGTTTACAAGAACAACTCATTTAGGGACGTAGGTTTATTAAACGTGCCAAGTAAATATGAGATTTTGTGAGCTTCAACGAATCAAACTCGAGCTAATCTTTATATTCATTTACTTTACGAGCACAAACTCAAACATGAGTTACTCATCTCGAATGGAACGACACTTGGTATGAACCTTGACCGGCTTGGTTTGAGCAGATCTATCATCCTCGCCGATGGTTGACCTTCAAGACCTGCAAAAACTTAACACTTAAGGGATTTTCCGGTGAAGAGCCTCTGATGCTTAAGTTAGTGCTCAGAAGAAGATGATGAACAATATGTAAGTATGTAAAAAGTGTGTGCAATCTTCTAAAGGGCATACTTCATTCTCTTTTATAAGGAGAGGTTACCTTGTTGCCTAAGACTACCTGAGTGAGCTGCCCGAACAGCCCATATGTACTGCATTATCTTTCCAAACTACCCAATTATGTTAGTGTCAGGTTATATGAGGAACGTCATCCTCGTGCGCATTCAAATTTAACGTCATCCTCGTGCGCATTCAAATTATGTTAGTGTTAGGTTATATAAGGAACGTCATCCTCATGCGCATTCAAATTTAACGAATCAAATCCTAATGCAGCGGAATTTATAGTTAGGATTAGGACTTACAGTTTTAAAATTTGACGACTCTAAGAAGTTTTTTATTTTCACTGTTGGAGATCATCTGAACCTCATAGTCGTTGGGTTGCCGAACTTGGCCTCGCCATCATGTCTCCGGTTGCTCGTGAGGCCCGTCAAATCCTCCCGGACTGAAGGTGGGTTAGTCGAATCGCTCAAGAATCGCCTTGGGCTCGAACCGGGTGTTGGACCACTCTTTGATCGACTTGTACCGGTACTGACCTAGGCTGGACCGCTATTGGGTGTTGGTGACTCGGTTGGACCGAACTGGACTCAGGCTGGTTGGACAGATCCGGGTCTATTGCTAGGGTGTTGTGGACTGCACGTTGGGAGAGACCTAGGTCGCGTAGGACTCGGACACAAGCACTAGGATGCCAACGTTGCACGTTGGCTGCACAAAAAACTCGCAGATCTTGGGATGGATAACGCTCGCGCGCTGTGATTACACAAGAAGCGTGCGGGCCATCAAACAGGGATGCTCGTCACACTAGAATAATGGAACGAGGCATGAAAGAACGTCGGGCATTAGGAGCAAGCTCTGCACATGAATCGCGCGGGACAAAGGCCCTAGACGGTGCGCGGTCATGGTGCTACACGGGTCGGCACGGTGCTTCGCGGCTGTTAAACTGGTGGTAGACGGAGGTCGTTGACTAACCGACTACTGGTCACGACTCACTTGTTGTTGACTCCGAGAGGTACGGGATGACGATTGCCGGTACTCAGTGATCATAATTCTCGATTTTCATGAACAAAGAACCTCGTGAGTTACAGAAACTTTACGGAGTTGCGAATATACGTAGACGTGATACATATAAAAGACCCAAGAATCTTCTACCGTATTACCCAAACACATGTTCCAACAAACTTAGTGGAGCAATTGAACGGAGCTCTCAAAACTCACAAATTCTCAAGAATAAAAGTGACCGATCGGTTTTTCTCTTGGGGAAGAAAAAAAAAAGTGTGATGCCTTATGATCTCTTGTATTTGGAGACTTGAGACTTAGTGTATTTATAGGGCTACAGTAGAGACCCTATGGAGGCGTTAAATATGGGTTTCCCAAGCATGAGCCCAACTGTGGGCCAAGACCACTCCGCTAAATACTTGAATAATAAATCGTTCCACTACAGAAATATTATTGCACCTGCAACTTAACTCCAAATTATAATTAATTCGTTTCCCTATTATTGTTCAATTTATATCCTCATATTTAAGATATAATTTTCATTGATTAATTTAATTACTGACAGTTTAATAATCAGCTTCTATGTCCTTAGCTAGTACCACTCAATCCTTTATCATTAAGCCAGACTTAATTTGCCTGCAGGGCTTGACATAACGATCCTTCTTGAGCTCACTTTGGGGACGTCATCAACCCGGACTTTTCTGGGTGTTGTTATACGAAATTGTAACAACATGGGGGGTTCGGAGAAATGTGTATCTCAACGAACTTTGGTGTATTTTGTTGTGAATTAAATGAAAAAAGATAGAAAATGAATGGTAAGAGAAGATGTATGTATCTTTTTCTTTTTCTGTTGAAGGATGAAGAAGAACCACTGAGGCGGTGCCTCTAGTACCAGATAAGAAAGAAAATTAAAGTGTCCCTCAGCCGAAAAATACTGCTCTATCCATCATGTGGACTTATTTATATATGGATATTTATTGGGCCCGATATTATTACAAGCGGTATTATTTTTGGGCCTTAACAATAAGATAAAATACAATAATTGATTTAATATATATCCACATGATTTAATATATATATATCCACGTGGAATATCTTAATAGGCGAGGCCAAAATTAGGTAACAACAGTAGGCCCCCGACTTTAGGACATGTTCTTGGAGAGAACTGTCCTGAAGTCGCATGTATAGTCAATTTTGGCTGACTTATGCTTTATAATATGTCTGAATGTTGTGACGTATGGATGTCGTTTGGGTACTTTGGGACCCGTAGTCGCTTTATCGCTCGTGTTCAGGCTTCGGCCTGATGTGTTGACGTATTAATGCTAATCGTGTTTTTGTCCAGACAAATGAAGTCGACTGCGTGGATAGTCAACTTTTTGAGATTGCTATATAAATAGAGGCCTGGAAGGCCTAGTCAGGTAAGTTGGTACCCAGTTGTCATGTTTTGCGCGTAATATGACGCGGTTTAATGGATTCGCGTCCGTAATGCTGATAATGATATGGCTTTGTGTGAGTACTCGGGCCCCATGATATTGTTATAGGATTCGCGATTTTGATGTCGTACTGAGACGACGCGATTTTTTATTTTGTGCTTGATTTTCTGAGTAGTCTAGACCTGGTCGGATAAATTGGTATCCGGTCTTCGGTCTTGCAATATTTTATGGAATATGATCGTTCCCGCCCGTAAGGCGTTACAATGCGCCTCACCAACGTGATATATGAACGAGTATCAATCCTACCAAGCTGAAGAACTTGGTGTAAGTAATAGTTTTACCCTACCGAGCTGAAGAACTCGGTGTAAAAATTCTTTCTTTCGTAATCTTGCCAGCTGGGAAAGTCTTATTGATTTTGACTAACCAGTGCATGTCCAAACATATAAAAGTGTTTGGTGTATTGTATTTTTTTTATTTATCGGTCAGGTAGTATGTTCCTGATCTTTAATGTGATTTATAAGGCATTACTCTTGCCAAACCAACTTCAGGATTTGGAAAAGAAGTGCTTATGTCAAGATGTATGTATGACGCGCGTATATGATGAATGTATGTATGAATGTACGAATATATAATGAGAACGTGCGGGAAATAATTACTGTACGATAAATGATGTTACCTCGATGTTTCGTCGAGTCTGACTTTTTGCCGGTAGGTGCTATGCCTTGCCGGAATATTAATCGTACCAAATCAACTTCAGGATTTGGCGAA